AGACAAAAGCTGGCGGCAGCGGACTAAGGCGGTGGCCGACGCGCACGACGGGCACCCCAGGGACCGAGGTCAGTCGGAGTCGTCAGACCCCGCAGACCTAACGCGAGCAGCTCCAGCGACAAGCGGGGCCTCATCCTCCTCGGCTTGGAGGCGAAACCTTACCCTGCGGAGCTGCTCTTTCCTTTCCCCCCCCGCCTTGGGGGGGAAGGGCTGAAAGGTTCCCACGCCCCCACCGCTTTGGGGGGAGAGGAGGAGGAAGAATATCCCAGGACACCAGGCGGCCCAGCCCGTCCCGCCCCCTCCCCACTGCAGGGTGGGGGGGGGGGCGGCGCGGGCGCCTGGTTGTCGGCCGAGACGGCCGTCGCAGAGTGGCCGAGGAAGAGAGCAGCCTCATCCTCCGCCTCATAATCGTCGAAAAAGCCTGGGTGCCAATCCTGTCCCCTAGATACACTCACAGGGACCTGGGCAGCAGGCGTGTCGGAGGCTGGGCAAGAGTCAACAGCGAGGGGCCCCTCCGAGGCGCTCGCTGGAAGATCATCCAGCCCCGTCGAGAGACTGATACCTGACTTGGGGTGCTTGCCTTTCAAAATCTCACCCCAAGCATGCATTCTACCGTGATCAGACTTACACTTACTATCTGGGGGTCCAACACAAGGCTTGCCGAGGTTCCTGACTTGCCCGCCGCACGTGTAATAGCAACAGCGGGTGCAGGCGACAAGAATGCCTCCGCCCTGATTCACATCAAAGAAAATAGGTCGGTGGCCGTGGTCAAGCAAGCCCTGACCCGTGAGACCTTTGATAGTGGCCGCGCCACGGCACCTACCAGGAGGGGGCCTTTGGGATCCACGGGCACTCCGAAAACACGAGGCGCAAATCCAAAACCTGCCTTCCCAGGACCAGGAATGAGAGGGCAGAGGAGGAGGCCTCGGAGCAGAGGGGGGTTTGGTCCTGGAGGCCTCCGAAAGATCGAGCTTCGGCCAGAGAGACATCACCCGAGCCGCCAGCCGACAAACAGCCCTCGAGACACGCGCCGCACGCACAGCGCGATGAGCATCCCCTGGAGCAGGGGCGGGGTGCCTCAGGGCGGCAAGGCGAGCAGCCTGGTCAGTACTAGCATTGCCAAACTTATGGGCACGCGCTTCTGGGGTGAGATCTGGGCTGTCAGGGGCATGGCCCTTGACCTTGCTGACAGCGCTGGCAATAGGACCCAGCGCCTGAAGCATGAGGCCCGCGTAAGGGCGACGAAAAGACAGCCTCACGGGGATCGGGTCGAGAGAGGCGTTGACCACATTCTGGCAGTCACTATAGATGTGGCTGCCTTCATCCCCACACTGGGAGGCCGAACAATACGCCGCATACTCAGCAGCTTGAGACGTTTGGGGGAAATGCGCCAGGAGGGGGTCTGAAATTACACACTGAACATCCCCTTCTTCAGAAACGCTAACCACCGACCACCCCGCCCTGGAGAGCTCTGGAGACACATTTCTAAAACAGGAGCCGTCTACGTAGAGCCTACCGTCGAGGTTGGTGCTGCGGTTGTTCGGGTCCCCTGTCCAAGAAACCTGGATACCAGAGCCTGGGCCGTCAAGTTCATGAGCAGGGCGTGGAAGGTAATCACTTGGATGCACATATAAACCGCGGGTGTACAAAAGGTACTGCTCAGGATCGCTTTCTGCCGTGAGGTCCAGAGGAGGGGCGAGCCGAGCATCTTTACCTAGTACTTCACTGCGGGTATCATCGCATGCAGGGCAGCGCCATAATCTATGAAGGATTGTGTCGTCGGCGCTGCCACATAAATCACAGAGAACATCACTCTGCTCGTAACCAGCGTCGCGTGCACGAGTCTTGGTCCACACTGCTGAGCAGGCCAAGGCTGTAATGGAGCCCTTCTCGAGCGGGGTCCACTTCGAAGACTGCAGCACGGCATGCACCTGGTCGTGGCATACACGAACGGGCTGCTGGAGCGTCGGCAGGAACTTCGCTCCAGCACGACGCTCATGAAGGTACAGGACAGCCTGCCTAAGATGACGCTTCAAAAGAGCAGGGCTTACCAAAGTGAGCGGCAGGTCGATGCCGAACTGATCCCTCATCACCGTGAAACTAGGCATCGACCAGTCAATACGCCGAAGGCTGAGTTTCATAGCACTGTTGGGGCCCGAAACCTGCTTCCAGTTATCGGGCCCAGGTCCCAAGAACACAGACTCCCAAGACGATCTGAGTTCAGGCCAGGACAGAGTGAACGTAAACGTACGCATGTGGGTCCCCCAGAGCTCCGTGGCGTACCTCAAGATGGGGGCTATGGGCCCATAGTATGTCGGGTCTTTGTCCAGGATAACAGCTGAAGTGAGCGAGCGGGATCCAGCCTTGGGCCTGGTACAACGACCAAAAGCACGACGAGCGATGCCCCATTCCCTGTTGGAGACCCCGTGGACCTCACTCCCGTAGTAGTAGCCTGGAGGGGCCCAGTGATAAACAGCTTCCTGGAGTGCCTACCTATAGCCTGTCGTATCTTCTGCAGTCGTTTAGTCTTGTGCTTCAACGTGAGCATGCGAAGCTTGAAAACCTTCGACCGATTCGGGGCCCGACGGGGCCGTCCCGAGGTGTGATCGATCCCAAGGTTCGCTGCAGAAGAAACGACCCGCTTGCCAGCAAGTGCTCCCGGTCGCTTACGGAGAGCAACAGCAACGTGCCGATGAGATGCCACAAGGTTGGCCTTCTCATGTGAAATGCTGCCCCCGATGTCATTCACGATGGCATCGTGCAGGGAGGTGGCCGCCTCGGACAGGTCGTATATTACTTCTAAAAAAGTACCGACCATCGACACTCCGTAATCATCGATGTAGACGTCGAGCGACACTGTCTTCGGGATTCCTGCCGAGTCGAGGGGCCCTATGATAAATATCCTGACCATCGTCGTGGCAAAAGGGCATCCTGCAACTACTCCGTTCACCACGTAAAAGGGGCCTCGCAAGATCTGTCCCATAGTGATGAAACGAGCGTTGCGATACATGGCTACCACTAACCTCGCAACAGTCATATCGAAACCATATTGTGCACATCGGTGGAGGAGGAGGTCGAGGTTGATCGACTCGAAACATTTCACCAGGTCCCATCACAAAATAGCCGAGGCCTTACCATCATTTACTGCAACCTCTCCCTTCACCGACTGCCGACACACCACATCAGTAGATGAGGTCAACTTGCCTGCTGCAAAAAACGGCCGTCGATTATCTTCCTCCCATCTTGTGGCATATCCTCTCCCCCCCTTCCCCCATAGACGGTAGATAGAGGAGAAGAGGCCAATCGGCCGAAAACCTCCAGCCTGCTTGCCAATGAGAGACATAATGGTAATTGCCGCCTGCTTGGGAATGAGGCTGCTTACTTCCATGGCAGTGTAGATAACCGAAAGGAGATCAAGAGATTCGTCCGACAGCGACGCGAAGTGGCGCATGTGGAAGCCGTCGATAGACGTAGCCGTGCCCTTCGAAAACCTGCGACTACAAGCCCGAAGATCTTCAGGAGAGAGTCGAGGAAGCGAGGGTAGAGGCTGGAAAGTGTCCGTGGCCCGAGGCGTGCAAGTGCGAGCGTGCCACAACTCCGAATACTGCGCAGCCTGAGCGTCGAGGAGAGCCTGGGGGTCAGCCACGACGACACCATTCGACAACAAGGCCGTAGTGGGAGCCCACGGTGTGAAGCCACGAACGACAGAGTGGGCACGCTTCGCCCCTGCTTCAACTTTATCTAAAAGCCACTGCTTCCAACCTGCAAGAGCCTCATGCTGAGCAATCGCCTCAGCAGCCGACACTGCCACATCTAGATTCGCACAGATCGATTCGCAATTCGCCTGGTTGAAAGGCTGATCCACAGCTGCGCGCACTTAATCATGCCAGCGCTGGCGATGCACCAAGCCTTCTCTCAAGAACGACGGAGGTGCACAAATGGTTGATCGAAGATCGCCAGCCTGACACGGCACACTGGTGTCGGAAGCCTCGCTGTGAAGGGAGATGTACATTCGAAATTTTAGATGTAGCCACTTGATGGCACAGTATAAAGGCTGGCGCACTGGAGGCTTCCTGTCCTGCTCCAGCACAAGCGCCCAGTACATCTGTGGGGCCTTGGCCCTCGATCCAAGACGCGGGAGCTGGGCGCCTCTTGAGTTGGCCAACTCCCACTCAGACAAGTTAGCCCAGGAAGAACACACCGCATCTAACAGCTTCTGGACAGGCAGGGACTTCCCAGACTCGACGGCACCCAAGAGTTGTTGACCCAGAGCCCGAGCTTGCTCCCAATTAGGAGGCTGCGGCGGAGGTCCAACTATGGGGTCCACAGGGATGGGTGGGGGACGGCGGAACTTCAGACCATAAAGCTGCGCCAGCTGCGGGTAAAACTCCAGAGAGACAGGCGAGTGCGGTGACGCGCACGCGTCGTGTTCGACAGACACCTTCGACAGCCCCTTGGACAGCCCACTGGAAGCCACAAAATAGTCCAGCAGCCGAAACCCACCAGTAGAAAGACAAGATCCAGAAGCAGCCTCAGGAACCACAAATCTGCCCCCACAGGATCTCGCAAACTCAGACTCCTGGAAAACCGATGGTTCCATATTGAAATCAGCCCCAAGAATGTATGGTCCTGCCCAAACTTCCAATGCCGCCGCCACGTGCGACAAGAGGCTGACGTTCGAGTCGCTGAGCCCCTGCGAGTGGTGCACATACAGACTGGAGACATAGACCGAGGCGCCACCTGGAATGCTGATGATGGCACCTACCGCCCTGTGTGGGAACAAAACGTGTCCACCTGAGGGCGGACGGAGACCGAGAAAGCGACGAACCATAATGCCAACTCCAGCCGACGTACCCCCAGAAGGGGGTAGAGAGGGCAGGAGTGAGAAGGATTTGCCACCCGTGGACCTTGGCCCAAGAAAAAGCACGATCAGCTTCATCCCCTTGACGAAGGTGATGCTCCTGCAACAGGATGACGTGCGACGTGCAGTGCGGTGGCCATCTCTGCAGGGACGACCAGGCAGTGCAGTTCAGGGTCTCAACATTCAGGGAAACTTGAGCTTCTCCAGGGGGTGGAGGGGACACAACAAAATCACGGGCGGGTTCGGCGCACGCCCACGCCGCCCCACTAAAGTTGCCAGAGGTCTGGGCCAAGGACTCCAGAGGCCTAGGCTGGGAAGACGGGCCAGGGCCCCGAGACGGGCGCGGGGGCTGGGCCGAGGAACGACCGCTTTGCCTGCTGGCCCTGATGCTCGCTCGGGCGGCCAGCGCCGACGACGAGGAGTGGGTCAGGCGGGTATTGGCCCAAGCCAGGATGCAGCCGATGGAATCCTCAACCTGGGTGTGCCCATGCACTCTCCACGAATCGAGGTTGCCACCGCGCTGACCTGAATTAAATTGAGAGAGAGAGCCCCCCTGCCACGATCAAGCTGTTGCGCCTGACTCTGGCGCGGCAGGGGGGCCACCAGTGGGCGCTGCAGCCTTGATGGAGGCCGCCGCACGCTCACGGATGGATGACGAACGGGCGGTCCTGGCAGCTGGCGAACGCGTAGGAGGGCGCTCCGCGGCAAAGGCAACCTGCTTGTCCCTGTCGGCAGGCTCCACGTTGGCGTCGGCGGCCTGCGACTGGCCTCCGCCCCCTGCAGCCGCAGCGGCTGCGCCTCCTGCAGGCACAGCGGGAGGACAACCTGCAGCGATACCGTCACCAGTCGGGCCCTTGCGCTTCTTGGTGAGGCGGGCGACGTGGTCGGCGTGGTCTTTCTTGATGGACTCAAGCTTCTCCACGGCGCCCGAGAAGAGGCCCTTGGCCACCTCCTGCAGCTGCTCGCGCAGCTGGTCGCGCCTCTCAGTGATGTGCTTACGGTCGTCGGCGGTGCACTCGTAGCCATCCACATCAAAGTACGAGTCCACGTCGATGAGATCAGCGATGTTGCCCGTGCCGTCCACCACCTCTTTGATAGACAGCCGTGCAGGGGTCGTTGGGGGGGAACTCGCCCGCTGCGGCGGCACACCCACGAGAGCAGCAACCGCGGTTTTGTACTCATTGTCTGCCAAGGACAATCTTTCAGTGAGCTCGGTGACTGTGGTGAGCTGCTGGGCGGCCCACTGCTGGCACTGCTCGAGCTTCTGCACTTCCTTGTCCAAGACACTCTCAAGTTCAACAACCTTGGCCCCACAGTCAGTGATACGCTGCTGCAAAGGAGGGTCTCCAGCTTTCTTATTCTGGAGCTGCTGCTTGTAACGACCTGCGACGTGTGCGTCACCAGCCTTCTCTGCGAGGAGCACGAGGTGCTCGAGCTCGTCCACAGACTGGCTGGGGTCGTCGGCGGTGCCAGCAGCAGGGCGATCAGGCAGAGCAAACAGCCGAGGAGGAGCCGAATGACGCCTGCGCGCCGAGCCTCCCCCAAGCGCCGCATCAGCGCCCTGGCTGGGCGCCTCGGTGCGCCACTCGCCGCAGTGCTTGCAGTATACCATGTGGTCCAGGTTGCGCGCACAGTTGCACCATGCACAACGCCATTTAAGCTCTCGCTCGGCACGGCGGGAGGGGGGGCGTCGGGACTGCCAGGGCGCTGCGCCCGCAGCGCCGCGGCCCTGCGACCAAGGAGGGTCGCCTGCAGCCCCTTTGCCCTTCCCTCCTCCGCCTGCGGCAGCGCCGCGGCCGCCGCCACGGCCGCCACCTGCGAGAGGAGCCACGCCCCAGGGTCCAACGCCGCCCTTGCCTCCGCCGCCGAGGCCCATGGCAGAGGCGTGTCGGATCTGGGCCGAGGGGGAGCCAGTTGGCTCGCTACTTCATTGCCGTCCCAAAGTTCGAAGTAGCAAGACCCGCCTGGGCCTGGGACGGCTCGACGAGGAGGAGGAGGAGGGGGGGAGGAGGAGGAGGAGGAAGGAAGGATGAGGAGGAGGAGGAGGGGAGGAGGAGATGATGAGGATGAGGAGGAGGAGGTAAGGAGGAGGAGGAGGAGGAGGAGGAGGAGTGAGGAGGAGGGAGTAGGAGGAGAAGGAGGAGGAGGGAGGAGAGGAGGAGTGATGAGTAAGTAGGATGAGGAGAGTATGAGGAGGAGGAAGGAGGAGGAGGAGGAAGGGATGAAGGATGAGGTGTAGGAGGAGGAGGATGAGGAGGAGGATTAGGGAGTAGGGTGGAGGTGAGGAGGAGATTGAAGAGGCGGGATGATGAGGAAGGTAGTAGGATCTCAAGGATGGCTTCCATTTTCTGAGGGACCCGTCTCTTTTCGTCTTCGTCGTCTTCTTGATTCTACTTGCTGTCGTTCCTTCGTCGTCTTCTTCTTACGTCATTCTTCTTCTTCTTCTTTCTCTTCGTCTTTCTTCGTTACTTCTTCTCTCGTTCTTCTCTTCTTCTTCTTTCTTTCTTCTTCGTCTTCTTCTTCTTCTTCTTCTTCTTCTTCTTTTTTTCTTTATATTTTCTTCTTTCTTCTGCTTCTTCTTCTTCTTCTTCTTCTTCTTCGTCTTCGTCCTCCTTCTCATCGTCTTCTTTTTCTTCCTTTTTCTTTCTTCTCTTCTATCCCTTTTTCTTCCTTCCTCTTCTTCCTGTTTCTCTTCTTTTTCTTTTCATTTTTGTTATTTTTCTTCTTCCTCTCTCTTCTTCTTCTTCGTTTTTTCTGTTTTCTTTTTCATCCTTCTTCTTCGTCCTCTTCTTCTTCTTCTTCCTACTTCTTCTAGTTCTTTTCCCTTTTTATTTTCTTCTTTTTGATAAATCCCCCTTCCTTCTTCTGCTTGACCTCTTCTTCTTCTTCTTCTTCTTCTTCTTTTCTCTTCTGTCTTCTCCTCTCATACCCGATAATTTTCCCCTCACTTATACCTCGAGTGATTGGCCGATCGGTCTTTCCTGCCCTGGGCGCGCGGCCGAGTGAGGTT